TGTAGCTGATTTATTTATTTTTTTATATTTACTTTAAGTCTTTATTATTAGAGAAATATTTTTGTATTATATATGCAATTACTGGACTGAGGCAGTCTACAATATAGAATACCTACTAATTACTTTTTAAACCAGAGAATCTACCACGCAATCTCTTCGAGTTTCCACCACAAGTTACAGCGAGCGCTCACACGACTCGGGCGACCAAATTGCTCGGAAGTTCGGTTCTTGCTCCAACTTCTAAAACATACAAAGCTTTAATGGATTACACGTCGTGTTTTACTTGACGAATGCTAGCTTTGTGCACGTTGTTTTTGAGAAAATATCTTTTTTTAAGTCAAATAAAATGAGTCTTTCTGTAAGTAATTTTGAAGTATAATTACAGTTATTGTTGGATGAATCGTGTTTAAACATCAAATCAATATTGTAAATATGAAATATTTTTTTTTTCAAGAAAGCCCTTTAAAATGTTCGCCTCTTTGGATTTTAAAATGATATTAAAGACAAACGGAGCATATGAAATTTTAAGACCTTAGTACACAGATAAAATCAAGTGCTGCAAGACAGTGAAGATAAAATAGAAAAATATTATAATTGAATAAAATCTAAAGTCTCAATTCTAAAAAATGTTGTCCAAAAAATTTATCCAAATCAAATACCTAGAAATGTTTGATTGAATAGAAACTTCAATTGATAACAATAAAATTTACCATTCTTGCAAAACTAAAGTGCTCTTAATCAACGAATTTCTATCGCCAAAATAGGTATATTCAGGTACTCCAACTAAAATTCAAAAGCAATTCTAATTGAAAATTGAGACCGAAATGAAAATTATGGATTCCAAAAACCCAAACAAAAGAAATCTGCAAGTTAAAGTCGTTGCTTTAAAGTAATTAGAGCGAATTCAAATGGTTTTACAAAACACAGTAAACGCATTTACCGCTGAGAATTAATCTACGTCCTAAAGTAATTCTAAGCCGATGATTATGCAAAGGAATTCGTAAAAAGAAAGTCACTTCGCCCTAACGCAAACTCGGGCAAACTTTGTCTTGGAATAAAGGATGCAACTTCAATATGAAATTTAAATGAGTCCCGTTCAGGTAGCTAGTCTAATTCCCTTGCAACATCCACCTGTAACTTCATTCAAATTCCCCTCGTAGTTGGAATTAATTCTAGTCTGAATTATGTATTTTTAAAATGTCAGGATTCTCTTTGAATGTGTAAGCACTACAAGTTTTGTGTTGGTTCATGTCATTATTGTGGCCTTTCCTTATATTGGCGCTCAGTTTTAATCTTACGCAATTATACATTGAAGGTTGATAGAATAGGTTAGTTTCATGAATTTTATTTTAACGTCCGTCTGGTACATTCATTCAAAACTTTAGACACATATTTTTTCTTTTCTCACAAAATAAAATACTTTCGACGATATATTAATTTGAAATATCGTGTGACGTCACAGCGTGCCACATTTTGTAGTACGTTATGACGTAACAACCTCCCAATCCTAAACTTAGCACTATTTATCTAAGTATTACAACATAATACGAGAAAATAAAAAAAACATGTGTCTAATATGTTTTCATTATCTAACTGACGGACTAATTAGATTTTTAATTTTGATACCCTGGAAACTATCCAATTGCAACGGTTCGGTTGTACCTCTAATATAGCCTTTTCAGAAACTTTGAAAACTATTATAATCTAACTGACTACTCTGTGAATTTGCTCTTAATTTATTTAAAACCATAGTTATCTCAGATGTTATATTTGTTTGTATAGCCAAAATCTTAAACTTTACTTGTACACCGTGAAATTTATCTCGATTACGTCCCGCGACAAAACAATTTGCCATAAGGAGTACTTTCAATTTTTTTTTATGGCATTGGTAAGAAATCGGCGTCGCCCATGGACACCTGGAACACCAGAGGCGTTACAAGTGCGATACCGGCTTTTTGGGGATTAGGAGTTTGAGGATCGTTGGGGACTCAGGGATTGGGGAGATTGGGGAGATTGGGGAAGGGGAGGGTAATTGAGCCTCCGGTAACGTCACTCACACGACGAAACACAACGAAAGCGTTGCTTCACGTCGGTTTTCTATGAGGCCGCGGTATCACTCCCGTCGAGCCGGCCCATTCGTGCCGAAGCATGGCTCTCCCACACTTAAAAATAAGGATGTATTAAGTAAAAACAAAAATAAGGATGTCATTTTGTTAAGTTTAACAAACATTTCATGGAAATACGGACATGTAACACTAGACGTTGTGGGCACTATTCGCATCGCACGTGCCACCTGACGAGAAATAAGACTTATTTCTCGTCATTTTAATGAAATTACTACATAACAAAGTTTGGCCTTCGTTGTTAGGTGACTTATTTCATAAGCACTGAGCGATATTATTGCACGCCGTAGAATGCCTAACACGAGTTTTTAGGTCGTTTATCACTAATATTAATTCATTGCAGCAAATGGAGGTGGATTTACAAGACACTTTCTTGCGTGAAGAGGACCAACAATCGCAACATAGCTCGAAACAAACATATAATAATAATAATAATTGTTGATTCTGTTGATACGCCGAATGATGACAGGACTACGGAAGTAAGTACTCACAAATGCAGTGAAGAATTGAGGAGAGCTTTGGAGGATGCAATTCAGGAATACCGGTTCGTATCACCCTCTCTTAGACCACACTTACCTCGTTTACCCATGCATAAAAAGAATAGGGCGCTTATGAGTGCTTTAGATTCTGAGCTATCTAATTATTTTGATACCAGCGAAGATCTTATCGATACTCATTCAATTCTGTACTGTGGAGCAATAGCAGCATGTCGTGTGGCACATGTCAAACTAATCGAAAAAGACAATA